ATCGGATCATTTTTGCTCGAGTTATCGCGCTAACGGACACATACAGGGTGATTTGAAGTTGGTGTGACAAAATTTTTTCTGGTAAATTATGTAACAAGTCGAGTTCAAATCCACAGTTTTTATTGTTTTATCCCTCGTGGTCTCTTACCTATGATTTGTTTTTAAATTTTCAGAAAAAACTGTATTAGCAATAGAAAAACTTACATTTCTTCACTTTCCTCTCATCTGATGATAATTATAATGGTATTTTATGAAAGCTCATCAAATTTACATTTAGTCAAGTCAGTTTTGTGTCGTTAGTAACAGTTTTGTAGCGAAAGTGGTGTTGTAAATACAAGAAATATGTTTTTCAAGAAAAAAACAAAATTTTTAAATAAATAACATGTATATAATTTTTTCTGAAAAAAGTGTCAAATACGTTAAAAAACTTGTCCTTTTCCTGAGCTTTAATTTGATATAAGCATATTGTATTTTCCTTGGGAAAATGACTATGAAAATTATACTACAAGTGCAAAAAACATGGGTTAATAACAATACTCATAAGCTAGTTTTTAAACTTTATTTCCCGTAAAGTTACACAATGAAAACCTTGAAAATCACACAATAATACAACACTCGATTGCAAAAAAAACCCAAAAAACTATTTAATATCATGTTCAAAGTGCCTGCCTCCTTTTCTAATGCAAGCCCTCGCACGCTTTCTCATGGCTCCAACCGTTCCGTTAAAACTTAATTTTTCTCGAACAACTTGAGCAGCTGCTTCAACTCGATCTGTCAACTCCTCCACTGAGTTCACTGGGGTCGAATAAACAATGTCTTTCATTGTGCCCCACACAAAGAAGTCCAAAGGAGTGAGATCGGGAGACCTCGCCGGCCAAGGCACAGGTCCTCCGCGTCCTATCCACGTAGGATAGTTCAGTGTCAACCAGTTCCGCACATCTTTGGAGAAGTGGGGAGGGGCTCCATCCTGCTGGAAAATGACATTGTCTATTTGGCGTTGGGTGAGGTCAAGACCATCAAGAAGATCGGGTAGGCTATGTTGAAGGAAGTCCAGATAAGCTTCACCACTTAGGTTTTCTGGGAAAATGTGAGGTCCTACAAGCTGGTTACCAATTACTCCAATCCAAACACTAAGATGGAACCTCGTTTGGTGAGAACCCTCCCGCATCACTTTGGGATTTTCTTTAGCCCAATGGTGATTGTTATGAATGTTAAAAACACCATCTCTCGTGAACCTTGATTCATCTGTGTACAGGATGTTTTTTAAGAACTGAGGCTGTTCAATGTCAGCATTTAATAGCCAACGACAAAATTGAACTCTTGGAGCATAATCTTGAGGTTCCAGACCTTGAACTTCGATGAAATGGTACGGATGAAATTGATTTTTATGTAATATGCTAAGAACTTTGCATTGAGAAACTCCTACATCATTGGCCACTTGTCGAGAGCTAATTTTAGGATTTTCTTCGACCATATTTAGAACTAATTCCTCCGTTTCCACATTATGACGTACAGGACCTACCTCATTCGGCTGTTTGAAGACTGTACCTCGTTCTAAAAGACGCAGATGCAATCTTGAGAATACTTGAGGACTAGGCACTCGTCTGTCAGGGTACCGGGCACGGTATTCTCGTTGCGCAGCTCGAGCATTTCCATTACAAAAACCGTACACAAAATGCATTTCAGCATACTCACGCGATGTGAACTCCATGATTGAACTGCACTTATAAACTTCTTATCCTTAATAACTGGGCCGCATAAGGTACGAGAATTGTGTTTTCTATTAGATAAGGTGTACTATCCTTTGTGATAACGATTGAGGTATTTTTTTTATCTATAAGTTTGATTATCTTATCTTTTATGGGTTACACTGAAAGGCACACTGTCCAATGGTGTAACTTAAGTACCAATTCACTTTTATTTCTTTTATTTAGTGAAAAAAATTTAAATTTAAAATGTAGGAGGCATTGGAAGGATTTTCTTATCAAACATAATTTAGTCTCTTTACGTCCAACTAGTTTTTTAATCCATGTTTTTTGCACTTGCAGTATAATTTTCACAGTAATTTTCCGAAGGAAAATACAATATGCTTATATCAAATTAAAGCTCAGGAAAAGGACAAGTTTTTTAACGTATTTGACACTTTTTTCACAAAAAAATAACATACATGATATTTATTTAAAAATTTAGTTTTTTTCTTGAAAAACATATTTCTTGTATTTACAACACCACTTTCGCTACAAAACTGTTACTAACGACACAAAACTGACTTGACTAAATGTAAATTTGATGAGATTTCATAAAATACCATTATAATTATCATCAGATGAGAGGAAAGTGGAGAAATGTAAGTTTTTCTATTGCTAATACAGTTTTTTCTGAAAATTAAAAAAAAAATCATAGGTAAGAGACCACGAGGGATAAAACAATAAAAACTGTGGATTTGAACTCGACTTGTTACATAATTTACCAGAAAAAATTTTGTCACACCAACTTCAAATCACCCATATAAATACATATATGAATTTGAACGGATGGTGTTTTTGGCCTCTAGGGACCTCAAAATGAAATATAAATCGGTCCCGGGTCCAGGTCTTACCATGAGTACTACGGTAATAGCTTATTCCCCATATGGGAAATTCGCCAAAAGGAAAAAAGTAAACAAAAGACTTGTAAGTTATCTATCCACAGTATACTAGCAAAACAAAATACAGTACAAAAGGACAAACATCAGTTGTTACTATTCAGCAAAGATTATACTGAAGATTACTCGATACATTGTAGTCAAGGGTAACAGTATGGAGTGTGGGATCTGTTTATGAGATTAGATGACAGTATCTGCAATCCTTAAATGCTATGGGAAGGGAGGGAAACATGTTCGCGACGTAGGAAGCGGTGAAGGAAGTAATTAAGGCGAGTAGTCCGGAGTGTAGGAACTGTTTATGACGATTAGATTAAGGCATCTGTAATCTTAAAATGCTATGGGAAGGGCGGGAAACAGGTCCGTGACGTAGGAAGTGGTGAAGGAAATAGTCGAGGCGAATAGTCCGGAGGGTGGGAACTGTTTATGACGATTAGATTTAGGTATCGGCAATCTTAAAATGCTATGGAAAGGGAGGGAAACAGGTCCGCGACGTAGGAAGTGGTGAAGGAAGTAGTCAAGGTGAGTAGTCCGGAGTGTGGGAACTGTTTTTGAAGATTTGATTAAGGTATCTGCAATCTTAAAATACTAAGGGAAGGGAGGGAAACAGGTCCGCGACGTAAAAAGTAGTGAAGGAAGTAGTCATGGCGAGTAGTCCGGAGTGTGGGAACTGTTTTTGAAGATAATATTAAGGTATCTGCAATCTTAAAATGCTATGGGAAGGGAGGGAAACAGGTCCGCGACGTAGGAAGTGGTGAAGGAAGTAGCCAAGGTGAGTAGTCCGGAGTGTGGGAACTGTTTTTGAAGATAAGATTAAGGTATCTGCAATCTTAAAATGCTAACGGAAGGGAGGGAAACTCGCTTTTCCAATGTGTCACTTTTTGTTCCTACCATTGTCTATATATATAGTCAATAGTTAAATCGTCTATAGTACTTCATTTCATATAGTAAGCCGTCATTTCGACAGAATTTCGGGCCATCTTCGGTCCAAGCAAATATAAATTGTTATGATAAAGTTTGATGACATTAACAAAGATTTAAAATACCGGAACTAATTTTATATGTCCTTTGTTATGTTTAAAGCATAGCAAATTCCCTAATTAAGTTCTGTATTTTTGTGTGTATGTCTGTTCGTAACGCATTAATGTCCTTATTTCTCAGTGTTTCACGGAAAGTACAAGAGCACCTTGATAATGAAAAAGTCAACCCGAATAAAGTGTTAAATTGTGAGGATGAGGTAGTACCTTAAATACTTTTAACCATTGTGGAAAGTAACTTTCAATTATAGGCCTACCTTAGGACTATGCCTCATAGATATATAAAGAATTCTTAGTTTAATCATTGGATTTAACATATGGACCAACACGATCCGGGTGAAATTTAATTGCGAAGCATTTGTTAGTTGTTTATTGTTGGTTATCTGTTGTAGTGGTTGATGTTACACAGAATAGACTTCCCCATGGAATGTTAGTTAACATTTGAAGCCAAGAAAATAGATGAAGTTCAGGACCATCTCACTCGAGGGTACTAGTGTATTGGGGTAATGCAGTATCATAGCAAACGGCTGATAGATTTATAACTTGACACAGAATATTGTCATTAATTGGTAGACCATCTCAACATATTGCACCATGTTTTTTGGCTTCAATTTGCTCCATTATTTGGGAAGTCTTTTCTTCGTATAGTCAATGATTCAAGTAAAACGTATCACGATCGGCTAATGTTATCCATATAAATTCCAAAAGTACCGTACCCATGAACCTTTGAGAAAACTACAAGTCACACCCCACGCCCCCCTAAACCTTATACTTAAAATGTTTGTCATGACGAGAAACCTTGCCCAAAACTATCCATTATTTCATAAATTGCCCTTTAAGGTCGTAATACCTTTCTAAAGGGAAATTTCTATATACCTACCTAATGTGTACTTATACATCCCTCAGCTGTACTTATTTATATGTTATTCTTTCAATTTATAACCCTACTAGTTGTGTGCCCGATCTACGCACGGGGATCTTATAGTAGTCAGTTGAAGCCTTCTTATAAAAAGAACTGCAGTTGGTTTGCATATTTTCATATATGCTGGCTAAACTATTATATATAAACAAATACAATATCTGTGACAGTTTCAAGTAAAAAAAATGCTTTATAGATTTATGAAGCATAGCTTGAGTAAGCCTTGAAAGCTACTTTCCACAATGGTTAAAATTAGTTAAAATACTATACCTCAACCTCACTATTAAACATTCAGGTGGAAATTTTCACTATCAAAGGTGCTCTTGTCCTGTCGTACGGAACACTGAGAAATATGCGCAATAGATCAGAAAAGTAAAAATAATTTAGAAACCTGACACAAAACCTTGTTTTGTTTTGGTCCCCAACACTACGATGATGGCGTTCTGTCCCTCCAAAGTTGCTTTGACATGTTGGATGTCTAGAGGACTTCCCTCCACCAGCTCCACAGACCGAAATCTGTCCCTCAGCTGTTCTGTCTGTCTGTCCACAGACACTCGGACATTCAGTCCTGGAGCAACACAAGCAGAGGTTACTGAGCGTAGATTAAACTACAAAGTTCGAAGTCAATGCTGCAAGTAGAAAATGGGTAATATACGAGTATACAAAAATGTATCTTCATTTTTACTATAGTTTGAAAACAATGGAAAACCTGATCAACAGTTCGTTTGGCTACATAAAACAAAACTACCTATAGAAATTTAATGCGTTTGTAGACAACGGTTTTACGTGAAACATGTTTTTATGAGTATACCTAAGGTTAAGACAAAAAGTTGCTGCCATTACCTCTGTGAAAATCTATTTTACATACTTTATTCACTAGACAAAACTAATCAGCTTTATCAATAAAAAATTTGATAAGTTTTGTTTATAGGAAACATAATATATTGTGTCAACCACAACAATAATAAGTGGTTACACAAGCATTATTATATAGCATTGTTGTTTTGTCAAGATAGTTCCGTTAAAAAGCGTACAAAAAGTATATTTTATAAGGGTATTAAAAGCATATTTGCTTTTAAATTTAGACATATTTACTTCACTAACTAAACTTGCTGTATCATACTCGTCAACAAAGTTTAGTTATCCTAAAAATGCACCTTTACTGATCGCAGCGTTCACAACACACACGCCAGTTCTACTCGAGGCACCGAAAACCACTACGTTCTTTATCATGGCTGACTATTTCATGGAGTCATAAAGTCGGGGCTCAGTACAGAGGTTGTAACGTCACTGTCATAACACACCACAGATCAAGGTACGACCGACACACGGGCTAGGAAACTGCTTATCACGCACTGCCACTTCAAGTAAGATAACGATAAGATTTCAAACCAACTACTCTGTACAGTCCAAATCGTTCAGCTACAAATACGCCTTTCTAAACAATTCACCATCACAAAGATCTAAATGTTGTACAAAATAACACATTCCCGGTTGAGCATAACTTGTAACTTTAGAACTGAATACATTATACTTGACACAAGCACTTCACTTCACTGAAGGCAAACCCGCACTGCCGAGTGCCGAAGTAAATGTAAATCAATAACCGTGATGTGATAACTACCGGAGTGTTCAGCAATCGATTGTTGCAATGGATGATACATCACAACAATTGACGTCGTACAAGTCATACGACACACTAAATATTGGTGACAGCTGTCAATGATACGCATTATAATATTCGAATGCACAATTAATTGTGGTTTTGGCTTTTTCTAGTGGGGCCTTGATTGAGGCCAGAAAGAGGAGCGATGTAATGTTACATAATTGACACTATCGAATGTAACTTACGTTTTAACGAATTTGCCTATAGGGAATGAGCTATTATCGTAGGTGGCACGGAAAGAACTAGCCCCTAAACCGATTTACCTTTTCTTTTTGAGGTCTCCAGAAACCAAAAACACCATCCGTTCAAACGCATACATACTATGGGTATCCAATAAGTAAGTACCAAACGTTTAGGAATTGGTTTATTGGTAGTTAACTATCTAAATAATAACAATAATATGTATATAGCCCATTTTATTGAAAATCAAACTAGGAAAATGGATATTAGCTTAGTCTACAGGTTTGCTGCGCATTGGTAAAAATAATAAAACTGTCAATACTGTTCCTTCCCAAGCATTGTTTGCTCGACCCTAATTTTGTTTGAAATAACCAAAGTTTTTCATAATTTTTAACGGAAGATTCATAAACCATGGAGAATGCTGAACTAACCATCTTTTAGTGCCACATCTGGCACTTTGTCTTAGACAGCTGTTTACACACGTAGAGACGCATAACGCGTTGAGACCGTGTTGAAACCCCCTCCCTACAGCCAGTCCAGATCTAGCACCAGTACACTGTACACTGTACAGGTATATCCTCGGTACTTGTGGGGAACATGTAGGCTATTGTCAGTGATGACGTATTACTAACAAGTTTAAGATGAGAATTGTGAGTGTTTATATTTTGTTTTTGTCTCCTTCAATGGCATTTTTAGAAAGAATAACAAACGAAAGGGAAAGCTGTCAAACAAAAAGTACCTACATACAAAATTTCATCAAAATCGGACTACATGTGTGGTCTGTAGCTCTGTACACATCCACACATATAGACAGACAGACATACACACACACACGGACAGACATCACTTATAAAACCACTTTTATGTGTTCAGGGGGCCCAAAACGAAAATATCCACTCAAACTCGAAAACAATACTTTCTGCATATACTCCATATATAAAGGGGAGAAAGTAGAACTGGTAAAAAGTGATGTTTACGTAAGTTTTCTTGGAAAAAACCTTTGAAAATAACATAGCCTAGTCATTGATGAAAAACTCAGAGAGTACAACAAAAAGTTGGGAAGTAGAAATGGTGTCTATTAGCTATCAATAAGTTATGCGTACGTTTAGTAAAATATCACTAATTCTTAATTCATACTAAAATACCGCATCTTCACTATTAAATTGATTGATAAACTACTTACTATGCAGCTTTGTTTTTGTGTAAAATTATGCGTGAAGCTACTATGAAGGAATACCAAGGAATTGTGTATAACTGAAAGGTTGGGAAGAAGTAGTCAATAAGTATTCTTTGTGGTTTATTGAGCTTGGTAGAAACATAATATGGGTTTGAAATCGCAGGAAAGTTTGAAGATTAACTTGTCCCTGATAATTGTCGCTGAAATGAATTTGAAGGTATTTTTATAACAAACTGTTAAAAAACCCAATCTCAATCGAGCTAAATATTCTGATACTCTACAAACAGTGTAAACGCTTAAAACGCTACCAGTTTGACATGTTTATTGTTTACATGCAGAGCCTATCTAGTGTTTTGGTGAGTTTAGTCGCCAATAATAGTGCTTTTGCTCAATTCATTGGCTGAATCCAATCTGATGTTATTTGATTTTCGCAGAGTTGTATGTTGACAGAAATAGTTGCATTGGCTTAGCTATTTCTACATATATTATTGTATTTGTAGATAGATAGTATTTTTTTGTTTTGTCGTGCATTTGATATGAGCTATGAAAATACATTGGAGATAAATAATCTCCTAATCTTGAGTGTGTGCAGTGGCGTACTTACCTACGGCACCACAGGCCCGTTTAGCCGGCCGCCCCTTTGTGTTTCACGAAAAAGGAAAGGTTTCAACGTAAAAGCGATATTAAATTTCCCAATAAAAGGTTAAATACCTGTAGTACTGGCTGTGATCCTGGTTAATGTTAGCAGTCCAGATTTCGAACCTAAAGGTTCATTTTCAAGCTGGCAACCAGTTAAAACATATTCTAACCAATGTTTCTAACCATGTTTTAACTAGTGACAGCCTTTAGGTTCGAAACCTGGGTCACTAACATAAACCAGATCACAGGCAGTACTACAGGTATTTAACCTTTAATTAGTAAAATACTTATCCAGAGGCTAAACATGTTAAAATTAAATTTCCCGTTGTTGGCATGCTTATTAATGTATTTTTTTCAAAGAAAGACATAGTACAATATGAGAACATTTATAGTAAAAAAAAGTATTTATAGGTTTTAAGAAAAACATATATTTTGTGGTTGAGGCAAGAATGAATATGAATAGCCTAAATTAATCCCCCTACGCATTGCCGTTCTTTACGAAATTAAATAAACATGTATTGAGTTTAAATTCGTTTCCTTTTAGTTTTTCTTCTAATTTCTATGAACTTATTAATATACAGTATATAGGTTATTTATTTAATATAATCATATCATGTATCATAATAATGATTAATAATAAAGAACTATATTTAATGTTATATATTATGAAACGCTTTTCCTTTGACAGTTTGTGGAATGGTGCACCACTTAACTTTTTCAGTTTTTCACTCATTATTATTATTTTTTTCATGCAAATTTACGAAATTAAAATTACTAAACAATCAAAAGTGGTTACAAAAATAGTTTTTTCATCTAAATAAAATAAATAGTGCCTGTTATTAATACATTTTACATTTTAGATCAAATAAACATATATATTGTTCTGCCAAAACAAAAATAATTTCTGACTGCTTTCAACACGTCCCCTGAATCCTTACGAAAAGGTTATAAGAAATGCGTATTTTATATTTGTGATTTAATTTAGAGTATTTAATCAAGAATAAATAAAATTGGTGAAATTTTGAGCAATGTCTTAAATGCCTTATTTACTAACCAACATTTTCGCAGGTGGTTAATAACAAAATACACTACACTCTAAAATAACTTAGGCCTGAAAGATAATTAAATTTAACATTCAAAACACCTAACAATAATTTTACTTATAATATATTAACTGTATTGTCACCTCTTTATATGAGTTGTGTATACAATCTATACAATGTAACATTGAACTTCAAATTTAAAGGAATAGATAGGCCCTTTATTTATTTTATTTTTAGGGTTGTATTCAAAACACAATTTTACCTGAGTAGATTCCACGAATCTATGCAGTTATTTGTTATACTGTTATACTTTATGCATTGAATTAATAAGTACAAACACGACTTTTGCCGGAAATTATAATGATTGACATAACAATTAATACCATTATTATCTTCACCACTAACCTCCACGGGACCGCCACCGCGCCGCCCGCCACCTGCCACGGACGGCGGGCGCCCCTAGGCACGTGTATAGTGTGCCTTAAAGTCCGCCACTGACACTGAGTGTGTGTCCGTGAACGCGATGACTCAAGTAATTTTGATCAGACATATGTCAATTTGAAATATCAATTGGAACGAATTGTGTTTTTGCCCTCTGGGTATATCGAAATGAACTAGTAAATCGGCCCGGGTTTAGGTCTCACCGTACAATCTACGGCTTGGCTACTTCCCTTCAGGGAAATTTGCTAAAATATATTTTAAAAGTTATCAAATTACCTGTAAATATGAGAAACTATCCGAAGATTGTTTTAAACATATTTAAAAATTTTAGGTTAAAATAATATTCACGAGTGCGTTGGAATGTAGGTTCCCAGCGAGACGTGGAGTGAGTTGTTCAGAGTGCACTGCGACAGTTGCTGATGTGGCGTTGGTGACGTCAGCAGCTGACGCTCAACTATGATAGATGACTGAGCAGTGAACAGTGAACAGTCGTTGTTTAGATAAGAGTTGTGTCTTGCATTCCAAGTTAACAGTCGGTTTCGTGTAATATTTTATAGAGTTGTGACTTGAAAAGATGTACTTTTATTCTAGCAACTGTTTTTGCATGTACTATAACTAGCTGTTACCCACGGGCTTCACCCCGTTTGGCTTCATAATTATTAATAAAACTATTGATTGGTTAAGTTAAGCTGAAAAAAACATAACAGAATACAGTAATACAAACAAATAATCAACCTGATTTCAATAGGGCAATAAATTGAAAGAATAACCTATAAATAAGTTGAGGTTTTTTTAACATTAGGTATATAGAAATTTTCCTTTAAAAAGGTATTACGACCTTAAAGGGCCAATATGAAATAATGGATAGTTTTGCGCAAGGTTTCTCGTCATGACGAACATTTTAAGTATATGGTTTATGGGGGTGTGACTTGTAGTTTTCTCAAAATTTCATGGGTAATTTGGGATTTATATATGGATTTTGCTTACGCTTAAACTTTGTAGGGTAAAAAAATATAATTTTAAAAAATAAACCATTTTAAATAATAATTTTAAGATGACAATCCGATTTCACAAGGAAACCTATGCATTAAGTGACTGGGACGGTGGCATCGTCCTGTAATCCAGGACTAGGAGGTCACGAATAGGCATTGCGATACTCCCTGGTGTGGATTACGTCTGCACTAGTGAATACTACGACTATCCGCGGTACTATCATGAAAATTGGACCAATTCGTTAATTACAAGGAAAATGTGATTTAGATTCCACTTTTTAAACTGTAGGTCCCTTAGTTGCCATTGGCTGTATGGGCAATTAATTGACAGCGGTGTCCAAGAAATATGTCGGCCTTAGTCACTAGCAAGACT